ATAAGTCGCTCGTAAAACACAGGAGATATGGAAACTAAGAACACCACATTAGTTGTATTTCCTTTAACTGGTGGATTATGGATATATAGTTGCTGATCGACAGCTGGAACACAAACTACCAAATACAAAAACATAATTCAGATCCAGCCGTCATGACTCCACTCCGGAGGGATTCCCCGATCATTTCTTACAGTTTCTCATCAAGGGGGGTCTCCTGTCCCCGGTACAAACACACTGCCTGAGGAAGGCTATGTGTATTTTTTTTGTCATTAACCTTTTTTCGGACCACTTATTTATTTATTTTGGTGACGATCCGACCTCCATGCTGCTACTCTGGTTCAAACTGCATCCACCAAACAATATGATTTATCTCGACCTCCCCAAAAGAACCAAAATCTGACACGGTGTGAGATGTCTTTTTTAGTTGTTCTGTCGTCATTTCCTGCGATCTTCTTCATAAAGTCAGTCAAAATGAATGAATGAAAGGGCGTTTCTTTGACTATTTATAGGCAAATATGGGCGTTACGTGAAGCCCGCAAAAGCTGCACCGCATTTCAAGTCGATTGTGATTTATAAAAGGGAAACCGGCGTAGGAATTGCTGTACGCACTTTTCTCGCTGGTACGCAATGTTTGGTGAATCGGAAAATGTCGGAACATTTCTGTACCTATTTTTTGGATTTCTACAACCTTCCCACGTGAATCCTACTCACAGCGTTATAAATGAGGCCCCAGGACTTTAGTGTGCATGTAAACTGTCACTATCAGGAGAGTGTGACCTGTATTTTACTTACCAGGTTCTTTTATCCTCTCACCAGGTAAACATTGTGTATGCTTTTGGGCCACACTGCACCCTGTCACATCTAAATCTTTGCAGAAATACCCCTCTATAACTTCACAGACTGCGTCAGTTGTTTCTGAACAGACCTGCAGGACAAAGAGACCGTGGCCTAAAGAAACAAACAGAAAGAAAGAGTAAATGCATGCAAACCTAAATAATGAAAAAGAAAATAGGATTATGTGCTAATATAAATACAACCAATACATCTTAAATACTCAGAGAATTGTTGGTGGAATATGATAGACGTCTTGGTTACATATAAAAGCCAGTCAGTTTTCCGTTCAGTCATTTATCACTGAGAGACAGTTTATGAAAATACAGTGTAATGAAACATTTAATGGACAAATAAAATATTATTTAAATGAAGTCTTAATTCATTATTATTGGCATATATTAAATATAACTTTTAATTTAACACTGTCGAACTCTCTTCACCCTTGCATAACCAACTGCTTGTTGACTACATCTAACTTACCCACACCCTCCCCCCCCCTCCCTCCTTTCTCCCCGCTCCACATGTGAAGAGACCTGAAGCAGATCTGACCTGCATTGATGTTATGCATTTCCCTCATTTACTCAGCATAGAGATAAGCATATGCTTACATAAATGTTTATTTGCACATATATTTACATTTGGAACACAGTAGGCATCAGTTCTGTTGTGTGAGTTTCATTCATTATTCATTCAGACATTATAGACATACCTGAGTCACAGGAGGTGCATGTGTTACATTTATCCAGTCCGTTGGGTTGGTTCATAAAAGTCCCGTTTTTACAGCGGCTGCAGCGTGTGCCTGACTGTGACGTGCAGTCTCTCTGAACAATGGTTCCTGTTCAACAACCAAACAGTCTGTCAGCATCTCAACATCAAGACAAATTACAATTACAAAATGAAGATTAGAGTCAGTAACAATATGTTCATCCCGTTTCAGGTCTTTGATGGAGCACTTCAGGGAACAAAGCCAACTTCAGCTTCGGAAATCCCAGTTAAATTCATCATTCAAAAAGCTCTCACTGACTGGATGTTTGAATACTTTCATAAACAGAGATGTAATGTACCTTCGCTGCACATAGGACAACATTGCCCAGCTCTTGTAGGATATTCTTTAGGACGACAGCAGAGCCCTTGTGCCAATAAGGCTGCACACCCTGTTGAGAAACAGCAGTTCAGTGTTAAATAGAAGTATGCGCTGTACATTCACATAATAGTGATGTGCCAGTTAAGACTTTGCAATGTATCCTTTACTTTGAATTTATACCTTCATATTTGCAGTCTCTGGTTGATACATGTTAATGCATTTAATCGTTCGAGTTTTGATACTTTTCACGCTTTAACTTTTTATAATACACCAAATAGTTTTATAGTACGCCATTGAATAATTTTTTGGAATATTTTTTGAAAACTATATTCTACATTTTACAGTGTATTGCAACCAAAATCCTTTCATACATCAAGGGTTCCCTGCAGGCTGAACTACATCAATGTTTTGTAGAAAGATGCCTTGAATAATCCTGGTGAATTTCCCTTGTGACAAATATTGAATATCTGTCCAAGTATGCAATATGGTGCTTCCAAAACCACTTCACGTAATAATGTCAATCTCTTTGTTAAATTACAAGACTTCAAAGTGAAGAAATATTTTGGGTAATTTTTTATTGTGTCAATTCTACCAAAATCACATCACACATTAATTGTCTCACGTAGCTCAAGCTACAACACTTATTTGTTTAAAATCAATTATTTTAATGATCCTAATGTTCCTGGTAAAAATTATATTGACACCAAGATCAGTGTTTCAACGGAGCCCCGCGCCCCCCCTGAAATACAAGGTGTTTTTTAAACGTTATATATATATATATCACATATAACAGCCTTCCTCTTACAATGAAGGCTCGATAATCAGCTCATGGCATATAGTGCAGGGGTAAAGTGCTATTTTCTTTAAGTGGGGGGTGGACCTAACATCCTCTAGGGGGGTCCGGGGGCATGCTCCCCCGGGAAGATTTTTGTTTTAATATTGAAGTTAAATGCATCAATCTGGTGCACTTTGAGAGCAAAATTAAGAGATCTATGGATACATCTCTCAACATCCATAT